CTGCCCCTGTCTAAAGTTGCTTGACATTCTCGTCAACAATGATCGCAGACTACTTCACAACTTGGTGAAAAAAAAAATACCAGAGAGAACAAATGTATAAGATTCCAGTAGATTTCTGGGTTTTCTTTTTTATTTGTTTTATTGTTTCATGTCCAAGATTTTGAGCTGTTCTCAGTTTGCAGATTTTTTTTTTCAAGAGTGAGTTATTGTCGACGTTGTTGTCTTTGTCATCGTCTTTGTTATTGTTGTTGTTGTTTTTATAGTTGTTTTTGTTGTTTTTATTGTTGTTGTTATTGTTGTTGTTTGTTTGTTGTTGTTTGTTTGTTGTTGTTGTTGGTGGTGGTGGTGGTGGTGTTTTTCGCTATTGAAAGAAGTGAAGAAGAGGTAGATCTAGTATTGGGAACAGCAGAGTTACCTTACGTTGAAAAACTCGACAACGTTGGAAAAAAGGTAGGAAGTGAATTCTCTCACACAAGCATAATACTCTCAGGATGATGGTTTATCGCAGGCAAATAACAGCCGAAAGTCACGAGCTAACAATAATAACGGCAGCTCTGTCTTTGCTGATCAGGCCTTATCCGGTGGTAGTCTCAATGCCATAGTGAGTTAACATACGAAAACGTCATACGTATGGACGTGTGAATGTGAGAAAGGCGGGTGGTCCAGACGGTGTGCAACCAAAAATTCTGAAAATGTGTTCAGCACAACTTAGTTTTATGGGCCCGGGAACACATGACAGCAAGATAAAGAAAAATAAAATGGACTAATACGGAAAGCATGTAAAATTTCAACCTCTACATTCCCCTACTTGGATGAATTGTACATAACAGCTTGCACTAAAAAAAATTATTCCATCTTTTTAGACAACAACCACCCCTTGTTCCCTCAAATAAAAACATCAGTCAGAAGTAAAAGACATAGGCTTCTGATCTGTGACAAAGGTCATTTTTACCATCATCTATCAAAATGCTTCCATCTTTACCATCTTGTATCAGTATACTTACGACCTTAAAGCGTGCATCAATATAACATTGAGTGTGTATTCAGCTTACGAGTATTATTGTTTATATTGCTGCTCAT